GCCACTGACTTTTCTCGCCCTCTCACGGCCTTTGAATCGGAATGCGATAAATTAGACCACCTTAGACATGCGGTCTCATTCATGACTTCTCTGTTGAATACTCCTATAGGAGATAGTGTCCCCGCCTACATCCGTAAATGGGAACGGGATCTAGGTGTTAGTTTCACCTCTACCCAAATAGCGAGACTTCAGTACTTCTCCCTTAAATCCTCCATTCATACGAGAGTCCAGGAATCAGGGTTTAAACTCCTCACTCGCTGTTACAGGACTCCCTAGCTCCTCCACTCAATGTACCCATCTGTGCCCAACTGTGGCTGGCGCTGTAACGAAGCCCCCGGTGACTTACTCCATATTTTCTGGTCCTGCCCGAGAGTGACCCCATTCTGGTCTTCTGTGAAGTCCTTACTGGGTAAATTCACGGACAGAGAAATCCCATGGGACCCAGCCTTTTTTCTCCTCCACCACAACTCCTTCCCCAGAAAACACTATAAAATGTCTATCCTTCCACACCTCCTGAACGCAGCATGCTGCTGTATTCCAGCCTTGTGGAAATCGTCCCAGGCACCCACGATGTCCATGTGGCTTCACAAAGTTGGAGAGGTGGAGAGAATGGAGGACCTGGTCTGGTCCGGAAGAGGCCAACATGCTAGACACTGCAAGACGTGGTTCTATTGGACTGACTTTACCCAGATGGCCGAATTCACCGCCCTACTACAGAACTCCTCCTAAGGGGGTGGGCAGCAGCCACGCAAACAGCGAACGTTGCCGAGGCTTGATCCCCCCTTCCTTTTTGTGGTATCTCCATGTGGTATCTGATTAACCGACAGTTGACAAGTGGCCGGTAGCATCGTTTGGCCCCTCAGGTTCCCCGGGGCCTGCGCCAATATGTCCACCTACCTCAGGAACACCTTCAATTATACACTGATCATAAGCTAGTCAACATGCATGCACATGTCCATAGCTACTTTACTTGACTATCGTCAGCCGGGTCTTAAGATAGCCACATAACTGTTGGTTGGTTGGTTTTCAGAAAACTCTCAAGTTCAAAGACATCTTTCCTGTGAATTAGTGGCCACAACTGAACCGCATACACAAGATGAGGCTGAACCAGTGTTTTGTATAGTGGTTGAATTAGGGATGTGTCTCTAGAGCAAATAGCCTTTTGAATACATGAGAGTAGTCTGAAAGTCTTTGTTAGCTGCAGCTTGAAATTGCATGCTATTGCTATGTGTGGTCTAAAGGGACCCCCAAATCTTTTCCCACAACAGATTTCCCCAGAGGAGCTCACAAATATATTTGTTGGATAGAGAAACGTGGACACACTCCCATGTGTGCATGGACCCCTTGAATGTGACAATTTGTTGGCTTTGGATCTCCATTATTATACTTGTGAAGATCAAAAACCAGTTTCCACCCCCTGAGATCAGCCAATCAGACCAAAAGGGGCTGGAAAGAGAATATTACCCCCTGCGTCTCAGATATTCTTGTTCTATTCATCATCTTGGAACCCTCATAACTGTTCCAGTTATGCACTATGGATCCGAAAGTGATGGCTCTGGTTCCAGCTATTGTTCTGCTATCTGCAGAGTCCAAACTCCGGCACTCTGCAGCGAACAGAACCAGAAACACCATAAAGAGACCCAATTATCAGAACTCTGCATTACGGTATGGTAGACCTCTGATGATTGGTGCCATTCAATTCACCTTGGTGCCACCGTTCTTTCCCTGAAGGTTCTACGATCATATCATGTATGGGACAAGAGTTATGACATATTACCTTTTTTAAACATTTTCAACATTGAAATACATACAAGGTGAGGTGACACCCTTTCCCTCTGGTGACAAACTCACCCAGAGACATTTTGTCTAGAGACTTCAGGATGAATATACATTGGTAAATGGATTGCTAAATGCTTCCCTGCTGGGGAAGCCCAACAAACCTACATCTTATTTAATTAACACTAGATAGTTAACGAGGATATATGCAGATTTTGTGTTCAGCTTGGAGACAGCCTTCACTAAAAGAAATTAATTGACTTTTCAGACAGTATTCACTAAAATAAATGAATTGGCTCATGATATCCTATGACAGGCCAAAAAATAAAGGATATTTTTATGGCCGCACCGTGACACCATCTGCTGTATGGAAACAGCTGGGTATCCCAGTAGAAGTCATTGACAAAATATGGTCACAACCAGATTTGGTCAGTAAAGTCACCCAGGATCCCTGGTGCTGTTGTTTACAATACAACAGTGTTGGGGATTCTGTCATATAGTGATGGTAGTAGAGTGAGGCAAAATCATCAGACGGCTGATCATTGTGTTTGTTGATGGATTTACATCACTGAATGACACAATTGAGAATAGATTCACATGGCAGGACATTATTTACATTTTTATTTACATCTTGTGGCAAAAAATGACTTTTTTAATGGTTTGGGTGTCTTTATTTACTTTTAGCTCTTTCTGGGAATTGATACCCCTGTACTCATTCCCTTGAGACAGGGGCAAATATATATAGTCCCTCAATATTGGGCTTGGTCCCCCCTAGCATGTTGAAAGGCATGTGGCCTGGTATGGTTCATAAAGGGGAGGCCACAAACTTAATGCCATCCCTTTGCTTGGCTAACCAGGCTGCATGTCTTGATAAAGGAATGGTTGGAAATTTTAGGGGAACTCCTATATAAAATGTTTTAAAAGGACCACATTGTACTGTTCTGTAACAGAAACTTTAGGTCATTTCCCAAGCATGTTATTCAAAGGATCTGTGTATTTTCAATGTTACCGTTTAAGCCTCATGAAAAGATCCCCTCTCTGCTAAATTATATTTTTTTAATTATTTGCAGCGGCACATGTCCCCCATGGTGGTGCCCTTTTATTAAAAAGGCAAGCAAAAAAAGCCAGATTCAGCTCTTATAGACTTCAATGACTGTAGCTTGAACTGAGCGTGCACCACTATACTCAGTTGACTCACTCCAGCAACTGCAACCATGCCATTCCAACATGCACATATTCCCTTTCTGCTAGTTTTAAATTGATCAGAATGGTTGCCATTGTTTAATTGTTTTATTTGGTAAATAATCACATTAGAGGTTTTAAGCTGCCTTGTGCGATGTTTGGCTTCTGGTGTGTTGATTTTCCCTTAAATGGGAGAGGGCAGTCTCCTAGGGTGACCTGGTTTCAATTTATGCATTGCTACATACTTTCCATAATTGGGAGCCAAGATAATTTTAAGTTAGGAACCACATTTTACCACTTCCATTACACCTTTATATGGTAGTGGGGCTTTGCATACATTTTGAAAATGTATGCAGGAGAAATTTCTATTTTAACCTAAGTAGTTAAAACAGGGGAATGTTCACTTTACAAAAATCTGGATTGTGGATTATTAACACCAGTATGTAAGAATTACATCCCATGTACCTTTTGTGCTGTTTTGAAATTCCATACCCCAAATGAAAATGGAGATGGTCTTTAAGAGATTTTTCCAGATTTCATGCCTATATTATAGGTTTTAGGTGGACCCAAAATGAGAGGAAATCCACCCAAAAGAGGCAAAAGTAGCAAGAATAGAACATTTTCTTAGCATGACAAAGTTTTGAAAGTCTAGCAGGATTTTATTGATGTCTGTGCCTGTTAGAAAATTATTTTTGCTAACTTCCTTTCCAGGTGATGGGTGTCAGAGAGAACAGGAAGAGAAAATACATTTCTTGTGAAGATTTAAAATCTCTGAATCTTGTTTTTCTTTTTTTTTAAATCAGTCATTGATAATGACAGAAATTCTTCCCATAAAAATCCAGGTAACAATGGGAAGTAAAAAAAGTGTTAAAGGCACTAAAACAAATTATCATAGCCACAGTATTAAAGATATTCAGCATGATGTTTGTGTAAGCCATACACAAAACCGGATATATTAATTAGTAATTCCCATGATAGCATCATAATATAAGCCCTTTAATCAATATAAGTGTTCAAATCCCCCACTCAGCCTTCCCTTTAAAAGTGAAAAGTAAATTAAACTGACAAGGCCATGTAATTGTCTTGCTTTCGGTAAAGCTCTGATCACTGTAGCTTCAGAAAATAGCAATGATAAATATCTCTTTTAAAGGCATTTCAGTTTTTACAGTATTGCTAGTTCAATAAGAACATACACATTAGTAAGTTTGATCAACGACTCATAATATTAAAAACTGGCATTGGTAATAATGTCTTCCTTACGAAAAGATTTATATTTTCAAAGTGTATGTCCTATTACACGAAAAACCCAACCAAATATCTGATGCTGAAATATAATGGTAACCTTTAATCATTGTTTTATGCATATATAGAAGAAAAATGCAACTTTAATCAAAGTGATAATGATAATAACTATTATTATTGATAATATTATCAGACCATGAGGGCTTTGTAAAACCAGATCAACTATAATTTTTTTAATATTTGTAAAAACAAATGGAAAGTGTTCCACACACAACACTCAGCAGCATTGATGGTTGTCAGTGGTCACCACAATCACAGATACGGCAACAATCTTGAATAGTATTCCTATTGGCTGTTGTTGCCATTTCAACAGAAAATAAACACAGTGATTTCTTCTGGCTATGCAAAATGTCAGCATACATACCTAAAAAACTAGTCTGATATGGATTTGAAGGGTAAAACCCATTATATTGATGACCAGTACCAATAAGGGAAGGGGCTTTCCATTTTAGTTTTGAAAAAGGAAATCAGCATGACAGAATATTACCAACTAGAAAAATTTATTTTTGTAAACAATAAGATTTAAAAAAACACGATTTCAGAGCTTGTTTTGTGTTATTTGTATTCAAATAATTCCAATGGAAATGTTCCTAAAAGAACCGTATACGTATGTATTTTCAAAATAACTCAGATCTTTTACATTTGACTAGCTTTATAGAATCTGTTCAACTGAATCCTGAATACATGACAAGCAATTTGATTATATATTAAAAAAACAAGAAACATTCTGATACACTTACGCTGACAAACAGGTGGTTTGCCTACATTACTCCATGATCCATCTTCTTGACATACTGCTGTTGATTGTTGACTAGATTGTAATCTGTAGCCTTCATTACATTCATATATCACTTTGCTTCCCAAAGTAAACTCATTTCCAGATACCGAGCCATTTCCAGGTGGCTTAGCAAGTCCACAGGATATAGCTGAAAATAAAAATAAAGGTTAAGTATTTTATGAATTATATTTTTAAAAAACATACATAACTTTAAATATTATTAACTTCAAAATTCTTGGAGACCAAAATATGCATACTGGAAAAAATCTGCAGCAATTAAACCTTTTCCATCTCCATCCCTACTACCATAACTGCGTTGCAATCTTTGGGGAACTTCTAACCTTGCTAGCTACTTAAATGTTACCAAGCTCCACCATAAGAGGCTGCTCTTTGGAATGTTAAAACTGCTCCAGTTTGAACTCCAAGTACACCTGTACAAAAAGAAACATGGAGGTTGCCATGTTGACCTACTTCTGAAAATGCTAGCTACTCGGCCATATCTAACTTCAACTTTTGAATCACTAACCTAGAACAAGCATGCAACTAGTGAAATCAGAGCAAAGTCAAAATTCCTGATGTTCATACTTGTTCCATGTCAGTGGGACAAAAAGCATTAAAGCCAATGGATGAGCATGGCACCCGGATAACTATAATTTTTACAATGTATCCTTTATAATGGCTGTAATAAAGAATCTATTACATTTTTTGACAATAATTATGTGTACCTTCTTTACAGGGTCCTTGCTTTGGGAAAGCTGCAAATGGCATACAAGTTGCTCACCCTGAGAAATATGTATCAGGGTGAAAGATAGCAGGTGATGGAAGCACAACACACTGGAAAGAAACATGGCTTTTGAGCAACTTGATGTCAATAGTATCCTTGTCACACATCACGTCAGGAGTGACTCCAGCTTCCCTTCTGTCAAATACAGCCCAGCTAATCTGTCCTTTCCTCTATGAATAAACATTTTAGGAAAGAACATCACAGACAAATATATCATGGTACTTGAGTCAATAGTATATTGTAAGAGAGGACATCATCTGAAATTGAACAATATTATTGGGAATAAAAAATAATCATGTTGCTAAATGTAGCTAGTAGACATGTGCACCAGCAAAAAAATTGTTTAGTTTAGTTTTGAAACAAAGTTTCTTTTTTTTGGCCGCAGACAACCACCCGAACACGGCGAAAACTAGGTCTGGTAGGAATGTTAGGAGAATGCCAATTCAAAAGCAAAGAAAAAAAACAAAACTTTATCCATTACTCTACCCGGCCCTGGATTAGAACCTGCGACCTTGACAATGGCAAACCTGTACGCTAACCACTACACTATTTACTCTGAAACTTTGACCATAGAAATGTTGTAGAGGGAAAATGTTGTCATTTTTTTTTCTAATGTCATTTTGCTGCATCGAAATTCATGCAATAACGAATTTCGGATTTGTTTGCATTCGTCTTAGCTGTAATTCGGAAGCATCCGAATCTCCGAATTTCCGAAAATTCGTCCGAAAACGAATCGCACATGTCTAGTAGCTAGTTGTTCTCACAGTTCAGTACAACTACCAGAATCAGCATGTATCTATTTACACTGGTCACATACAAAAAATCTTGCCCCAATCTGATAGTCTTATGCAACACTCAAAGAAAGGATAATTTAGTGATTCTTTTAAGAGATGAAAATAAGTATTTCTGACATCAGGAAATACTCTGTATAGCTCATGGAGATTACTGGAAAGTAGTTTAGGAATCTCCCTCTAGAAAAGCAGCATCATCTTTGTCTGTGCTTCCACAGCTTGAGGTGGGGAGATCTATCTGCCTGTGCATTTCCTCCCAGCTCACACTTGGCCCCTTGTATCAACATCTCTGCAATAAAGAAATGAGCTTAACAAACAACAATACGGTTATTTCTCATATAAACAGCAATGAGGCAATGTTAGACTTTTGCACAGCTGCCTTGGTCTACATGACATAAAGTGCTAACTTTGTCTCATGGTAGATTCACCATTGTTAACACATCTGCTAATATCTGACATCTAGATGACACAGTTCTGGTAGTTTCCTGGAGACAAACTACTAAGACGGTAGACCACTGCAGACTTCTGCTTTTGAAGATGCTAGTGCTCTGGGTGTCACACTGAACCAATGGTTTCAGTGTTTTCTAAGTCCATGTAGCTATCATGGCAATAGTAAGGTGCCCTGTTCTCTGGATACTTTATGAAATGGAACAAAACAGCCTGGCTGTAGCAGGACAACTGGAACAACAAGGAATAAAATGAATTGTGAAATATTCTGCAGAGATTTCACTGGTGAACTTCCACAGGCATAAAAATAGCCAGTTCATGGCACAACATATCATACTGTAACTAAAATACAACTCAAAATAAACTCATTAAAGTTAACCTGCAGCCAATATTGTATACAGTAAATTAAAACTTTATTTCAAGGTTATATGTCTCTCTGTGAACTTTTTTTGGAATATTGTCCTTCACTTCCTGCCCCTTTGTTTCCCATACAAGAAATGTGGGTGCAGTTGTCACTGGAAGGCATGGAAACCAACAAATACTCTTCATCACTCTACTAAAAAGTTATTATCTACATTCACATTAAAGAGATTTCCCATCACTTCCTTTTCTGACAAGAAGTGGGGGGACATTTCCTCAGTAGGGATAAAAAAAAACCTGACAGATGCTCTAATCATTCCTCTATCCAAAACAAAATACAATGTTTTGGACAGAGTGCGTTCTGCAATTTGACCAGTTTTTGCCCTACACACGTCGCTCATCTCTAGCAATTAAATTTTAGAAATCAGGTAACTAAAAAGCAAACGAGTTTTAGATTTTAATGATCCTGCTTCACTAAACTAATATGTGAGTGTTTTCTGTGAAATACTTTACTTTTGGGAAGTATGGTGCTGTTTAAATATCCCTCTCTGTATGTTGTCTGTATGTGCATTGCAATACTGGAACGTTATAGTATGTATAGAAATGTTTAAGTTGTTTTTGCAGTTTTTTTTTACTTTGCTTCCATTCACTGCATACAAATGAATGCACTTTTACAATAGTATTTGCTATGAAGCTAAAAACAGATAAGCTGAGTACTAGCTGAATTTTGTGAAGGCAGATTTAATTAATTCAGAGGTGGTTTGAAAGTCATATGTTGAAATTTCTTTCAAAGACCCCTTCAATTAGCGGGAAGCTTCAAGTACTTCATTCTAAGTACATTTGAGGTAATTGACAGAATGGGAATAATGTCACCTGGCTCGGAGATAATCTTAACCAATTAAAGATTTCTCATCCACAATATACTATTGTTGAGACACATATTACTGTGTATATTTTTCTGAGAGTTAACAAACAATTTGGAAAAGTGCTGGCATATCATTATTTTATATATACAAATGGAAATTCAAAGAAGAAAACAGACATGTTTTTGCTAATTATATAGTGATTTCTAAAAAAAAATAGAGCATTTAAATATAAAAGGTTTATTTACAAATGTTTAATTTGATAGATGAAAAAAAGAAAAAGGCAGTATGATACCTTACAATTTCTTGAGCTATAATTGTTATAGCTGATTAGCAGATCTACAGCAATATATTGTAGTAATTAATTAAAACTGCCTTCACGGCCTTGTTTCTTCAACCACCCCTGGATCTTGTTAACCACAAGATTACTCAAGGCTGCCACCGCATCCACAAAATTACCACATGTTATTTGCTCAACTATTTAATCATTCTGGTCTCCCACATTGTCCTATATGCAATCCATTACAGTCATTAAATGAGATGTACACCCATTAATATGTCTATTTCATGACCCCCGCTTGCACCCAGGCCTCGGAAGTCCTCTCTAAATCGTTGGGAACACCTCTGTTTACTTGGGGCTAAAAAAATTATTTTACAACACTGGATCCTGAAAGATTACCCCAACTTTCAAACTTATAACTTATTTTGTTCAAATTTCTATCTACGGACATGTTAGACAAGAAATTCCAATCCATTGACCCAAAGGCAACTTTAGATGACTGGTACACTTTAATACACAATGATTTATCTATAAACCATAAAACTGGTTTAGAATCTTTTATTCTCGCTATGACTGGCTATACATTGACAGGTAAATGATACTTACCATCACTCGGGAACTTTGGTATATATTTTCTTTCCTTACCTCTACCCTCTTAGTACTACTGTATCCTTGTTCTTGGACCTTCCCTTGATCTATATCTCTTCTTCTCCTTTGTACCTCTATCTTAGACATTTTGCCTTCCTACTCATTGGTAACATATGAGAACATATCTAAGATATATGCTTACCTTTAATGGTTCAATTTAGTTTTAATCTTGTTTTGATGTGCGATGTTTTCACATGTTGAATGTGTTTCTACCTAACTTTTTCGGTTTTCTCTTTTATAAGATAATGACACTAATCATTGCTCCACCAATGTATATTTTACATGCATTAGATAATTGTTAAGCTACTGGGATCTCAGCAACCATTTTGCTCTGTAAATGTTTTCCCCCACCAATGTCATACTTGGAATGTTTGTGTTATTACATCTTTCTTTCAATAAACTGTTATGCTATATAAAAAGCCTTCCCAATCCCTCTCCTTTCTGTACTATGTTAATGAATAGTCTCTTTTTTCACATACCAATGAATAAAATGTAGCAACAGAAGGACATGTAGAAATCTGTATCTTGTATAATTACCAATTTTTTTTGGTAAATAGGTGTATGAATTTGCTTTTAATTCTTGGAGTTCGAATGCATTAAGTTGGTTGGTGATGTATGTACAAATTATACTTTAAGCTCTGTATGTGACAGTTTTGGGGCTAGAACAGGTATTCAAACAATAATCCTCGGGGTTGATTTACTAAAGGCAAATAGAATATAATTTTATAATGGATTCAGAGTCTGGACTTAACGCACCAGGCTGTCGTGGAGGGGGGTCAGGCTGAGGAGGGGGGGTTGGAGCAGCGGGATCCAGAGGTGGGTAGCTGGGTTAGTATTAGAAGGCGGGGGGGAAGAGAGCTAGAGAGGTTAGCCCTGATCTGATTCACCCCAATAAATTTGCCAAGTTGCAGGATGTTGGGGACATCAGTTCAGGGGGGACACTGCTGGAGCACGACTCATCCTATATCCACAGGGGGAGTAAGTGCTCCGGCGAGGACGGGAGCAGGATGGAGGGTCAGGAGAAGCAGATCCTGGTGGTGGGAGACTCCATCATCAGACGGACTGACAGGGTAATCTGTCATCGGAACCGTGAGCGTCGAACAGTGTGCTGCCTGCCGGGGGCTCGTGTTCGACACATTGCGGAACAAATTGACAGATTACTAGATGCGGTTGGGCACGACCCCGCTTTCATGGTGCACATCGGCACCAATGACAAAATAGGAGGAAATTGGAGTGTCCTAAAACAGGAGTTCAGAGACCTGGGTGCTAGGATGAAGGAAAGGACCTCCATGGTAGTAAACTTTTGTCCCACAAGAAGAGAGGAATCAAATGTATGTGCACCAACGCTAGAAGTCTGGCAAATAAAATAAATCCTAATAGGTTGGACTTGATGGACTAATGTCTTTATTCAACCTCAAATACTATGTAACTATGTAACATAATAGTACAGATAACACTGCATACAAAAGTTCTAGGTTTAAGCTCAGGGGACTAATATCATTCTTTAATCAAATTAGGAGGAAAAAGGATTTAATCTACAGCTTAACAAAAATTCACATGAAGGGAAACCTACGTGAGGGTTTATAAACTTTAACAAAGTGTTGGAATATTCTACTCAGCATCAGATGGATACTAGACATATGCGATTCGTTTCGTTCCGAATCGAAATTCGGACGAATTTTCGGAAATTCGGACATTCGGATGTATCCGAATTCCGAATTACAGACATAACGAATGCAAACGAATCCGAATTTCCATTTCCGAAATTCGGTAATGTTAGTACGAACGTTTGTTTCGTTTTCTGTTCTTATTCGTTTCTTATTCGTTTCTTATTCGTTTAGTTCGTTGGAGCAAAGTGACATTAGAGGAGAAAAATATTTTTCCCCCTCAAATGTCACTTTTGCTGCAAACGAACGAACGAAACGAATAAGAAACGAATAAGAACAGAAAACGAAACGAACGTTCGTACTAACGCTACCGAATTTCGTCCGAATCCGAATTCCGAATCCGAATTGACTTTCACACCCGAATCCTGAAAAACGAAATAACACAAATCCGAATTTAAAACGAAACGAAACTAAACAAATTTTTTGGCAGTGCACATGTCTAATGGATACCTTTAGAAAAGTTGGCACAAACATGAAAAAGCCAATAAGCATAGCATTACTTTTTACACATACCTCTAAAAAACAAAAATAACACATACAACAGACTAACCACCTAAACATATTGCAATAGCTTTGCAAAAACTTTTTAACCCAAACACATTCTACATAATCATACAGAACCAAACAAGTTTTTTTTATCCCAATTCTCCTTTTCACAAGAGTCTTCAATTTTTTTTGATAGGCAACAAAAGAATTAAAGAAAAGCCATATCATATTTCCATCTCCGTATTGAGGTGTGTGACTGATGACTAGCATAACAATTAGTTTGACATTTAAACTTTCTTTCTTGATGGACACACAAACCTTGTAATCATTTTTCAAGCAACACCTGCACTATCTACCTTTTCACTTATATACACTTAAACTGTGCTATCTTGTGCTTAAACACAGTAGTAACCATATACAGTATCATTTTTGCTACTGCTATAAAAGTCAGCACATGTTTTCTGTTCTCAGGCCTAACTAGATATATTTTTTAAATATCACTGCAACCTGCTGTAGCTAGCTGGTTGTAAAAACTCAAGATTCTACCTGAAGATTAATAACCACACTGCTCAAAACCCCTGAGGTATAACTTAACCTCATACATTTACTGTTACTGCCTTATTTTCCTCTGAACCATGAAAGAGTGTTTGCACTCTCTCCCTCAGCAACAAGTAATCACATTCACTGGCATAATAGCTGTAATACACAAGGTTAATTTTCTTAATACCAAGAAATCCACTGGTATGGTATAATGGAGGTAAAACTCCCCAAATACCTCCTGCTTGGATCCCACCAACTGTCTGGCCTTAGCTATTTTATAATGCAATGCCTTAGTTAGGTCATTTACTCCGTAATGTCCTGCTGCAGCCAAACATGGACAAGGCTGGGTGCTGGAATATAGGGGATACCAGCCCCAGTTTTCAGCTCCCAGTAATCAGCACATATATACTGATTACATATAATGTTTATAGGACAGGTGTGTTTGGTTATTAGTAACTCCAATGTACGCCAATTTTAAAAGCATTTGTTCTTTTGTAAATGCAGTAAATTAGATACATACTTCATACTGTATAGAGCCCTTGTGATCAAACTGCAGTACATGGGCAGTATGTTTCTCCTTGGCCCTTACTGTGTGGTTCACAGGCTCCAGAACCTAGTCACTGGTTTGTCCACCTAGATCCTTACTCAGGCAGGGGAAGAACATATTATTTAGACTGAATTCTGCTTTTTAAATTATTTGGTTTGTTGCATACATTACTACTTTTTTTGTTGTCCATTTACTTTTCTCTTTTCCTTTCTCTGATCTTTATAATGGAAGTTGCTAAAAGCAATATTCAAAAAGATGATTCTAGTAATTTTTAGGGGGATGTAGAGAGCATTGATTTATAAAGGAATTATAATGACTGTGATCTCTAGCAGTCTCATGTAAAGTGCCCCTAGTATCTTGCAGCATGACCTCATGTTTCTTACCATCTCCTGTAGCATGCCTACAGAGATATCAAAATATAGATTGGCATAGAGTAAAAAGGCATAAACCAGATTAAGATGAAACATCCTATAACAGTTCTTGTTGCATGTCTTCAATGAATGTTTGCCAGACAATAATCTCTGTATCTATATAATTTATATTTAATCTCTATACTTGACATACCTTTACAGATTGGTGCTGGTGAAGCCCAGTCATACATTCCATTTTGTTTTCGTATACATGTAGTGTTACTGTTCCCAATCATTTTATATCCTGGCTTACAGTAGTAGTAAACTTTTGAACCAAGTTCAATATCCGTTTTATTTAAAATACCACCATTATTTATTACCATGTGCAAACTACAGTAGGTAGCTGTGAAACAAAATAGGTAGATAAAATGGATCAGTTATAAATAAAGTGTTTACAATATTTACTGACAAATGGCTTAACATACAAATGTTTTTACTGTTTTTGCATAGCATTGTTCCATCAAACACAAACATGCACATTAGCATTTTTGATGCTGTGATTTGGTTTAATTGCTGCCTATAGCACCCTTATGCTATTCCTATGATCCCAAAACGTTCATGAGTAGTAAGATAGTAGAATCAAAGGTATAAGTGTTTATGAGTTCATTATGTAACAAAACATTATTCCATAGATTGTTAGAGCTATTGACAACAATATAGCAGTAATTATAGGCATGCACAAACAAAACTGTCCATGATATTTTTGTATTTGCAGTTACATTTTTAAGCATGCTCAATAAAGTAATGTTAATACTTTTGAACAGGTAGTTGTGATAAATTAAAGTATATCTAAACCCTAAACTTTTAAGGGAAGGGCTGTTTGTTTATCACAAATTTTCCCTTGGAGGAATTTCCCTACAGTTTCTGTCCCATAGACAGAAACTGAAGGAAGTGAGATGAATTCTGTCTAAAGTGAAGACACAGACAGTGAAAAATTAGACAGGATTTCTTACTCTTTCCAACATTACCAAAAACTAAAAATAAACCCAAAGTTTTGGCTTTGATGTGAACCTGTGCCAGACTATGCACATTAAATTACTTACATATTCTAAACAAGCAGTAAAACACTTTAAAACAAGCTCTCAGTCACCTTTGCAGCTATAGGCATTATGAAGAAATTCAACTTTAAAGTTTATCACAGTGATTTCCTATTACTTTCACAAGCCTGCTGGGCTTCTAATGTATATATACAGGTGTTTCTAAGCTGTTAGGAAATACTGCAGCCTTGTTTCAGTCAGTTTCTGTGATCTGTGAGGATCTTAGAGAATGAATTACTTCACATTACAAAAAACTAAGGAGATCAGGCTTGTTTTATTGCTCTTTTACTGCTTGTTAAGTATAGGTAAATCATTTACTGCCCATAGTCTGGGCACAGGTGCACTTTAAATACATATTAACATATAAGGTTTAGGAAATAAAAAGACATGTAGGAAGTCAGAAACCTTTATGTCTAAATACATTTGAATGCATTAAATCTTTCACAAAGCTTGTTAAAAATGCAACTGAAAAATCTCAGTCCACAGATGATAAAATATGAATATCTTGAATACTGTTACAAACCTGAATATCGAATCTTGAAACCCCTTTTACTTGTAGCATGATCTGTTGACCAGCGAAGAAAAACAGTGTTGCTTTTGCTTGTAAAATGTTGTTGCCCCGTTAAATTGCCACTTAATGCCACAATAAGAGGGCTCTGTCCAGCTGGCCCTTTAAAAAGAATACAGTAAGAAAATCACTTGAGCAAAATTACGTCATGCTGCTCTCCCAGGCTTTTCTAAAGAAAAGTACATTTTATTTCTCTGCCCTGGAAATTTACAATATTATTACTATGAAATAAAACAATATTGAGTGTCACCTTGTGATTTATGCCATGATTTTCATGCCTTAGTATAAAAATTAGGTCATATCATTTTGCATTTAATGCAATATAAAATAGGTTTTACCTCATATTTGTAACATTACTTGATACGTGCAGTAAGCATTTTAGCAAAATATCTGATTATACTTATAATCAATTTAGCTTAAAAACGTTCCCTGTAACCGAAATTTAACAGTACATTATTTTGTACTCCGTATACTAAGCATGCATATAATTGACCATAGCTATTCAATCAGTTGTAATTACAGCTTGCCAATAGTGCGTGTGTGTTTTATAACTGTAATTGTTCTTACCATCGAATACTTCAAGTTCATCAAACTGTTTTTCGCTTTGAAACATATCCACAAAAAATGATATATTGTAGCCAGGTTCAACCTTAATGCTCCAGGAACATGTCTGAGAATTAGGATAGTTTTCTGGATAGCCAGGGCTAAGGATGACCCCGGATGATTCTTGTCGCAGTTCATTTGCAGGACATTGTGCTACAAAAGATAGATCCAAGCAGCCAGTTACATATTTTGACATGCTGGTCTACATGGTTAAAACAAATGTCTAATTTTGACTAAAGATACAGCAGGGTTATTCAGTAAGACAAAGGGCTAAGGGCGAAGTGTAAAAATAACAGTAATCACAGCAATAAGATTCCATTTTCCTTCATCTACAACCACATTATGCTGAAATGCCTAAAATGAGTTGCTACATGTAGCTCAACATTGCTTTTTGCATTTCTTTATTGAATAGGCTATAAAGACGTTTTGATCAACATATCAACATTTTCAGCATTGGTTCTCAGGAAAATCTGTTCAATCCCTGAGATGCAATCTGGTCATTTGCTTTTGCTTCTGTAGCATGTGAGACCCACTATGTAGCCTAATCTAGACAGGTAATGAAAATGATCCTCTGTGCTTCTCCAAAACTTTATTTTTATTAATAAAGTTATATTTGTATTAATACTCACCCACTCATTATTTTAGAATATATATTCATAGGTGGCAAAGTTCTACAGTAAAATCTTTAGAATAGCAAAGCTTTGTTAGAATAGTCAATGTCTCTTGCTGCCATAATGTAAGGCTTCTTTGTATTGCCTGATTTAGGCTAGCAACACAAATGTGCAGTGTGATGCAGTTGTAACACATTGCTGCACTTAAAAAAAGTACTTTCAACTCAAACAGTTACAAAAAAAGGTATTGCTTTGTCAGTGCATTGGGGATGCACTAGTAAAGGAGGATAATGCAACCCCTACACACCTGTTATGAACTGGCTCTAAGTCAGCTAAATATGGACCAGGTATTTTGAAGCAAAAGGTGTTAATGTCTTACATTTATTTTTCGCTTTAAAGCAACTACAGCCTAATAGAAAAGTTTGTCATTTGCTACCAGCTGCATAGTGGGATCCTTGTTCTCTTTGTTAAAAGAATAATCAAATTGCTCAGACTCAATAGGAGACATGTAGATCCTAGGTAGCAAACCCACATAATATGGGATTTTACTAATAAGCTCCTAAAGATAATTTTTACTGTAATACCACCTGCTATATTATTTTTACCATAATACCCCTCTTGCATCACAGATCCTGGGCTATTTAGTGTAGGTTAGTGTTATTCAGTGTAATTAAATATTCATTTCCTATTGTTTTTTTTTATTTTTGTTTTAGGTGTTTAGGGTCAAGGAAGAAAGGTATCAATAAAAAAGAAGTATGAAGATAATGAATAGCCTGGCTCTTCCTACCATAGGACAAAACTAAAAATGTCGTAATTTCTAGATTTCCTTAGATGTATAAAGCACAAACACAATACAATTCATAGCCTAACTTCTCAATATGACTTTTACTTTTCTTTACCTTTTTGTAACTCTTCTAGATATTATGTTTTACACATTTTTAATACCATAGGTTTTCTGACAAAATACTACTCATTTTTCCAGCAAATAATATATAAAGTTACAACTTTTGAAGAACTCTAAAATGTTTTCTATGGCTTTTTGTATATAATTTACGGATATCTATTGGGCTAAAATAAAACATGGCTCAGTGAAAACCACTCTTGTCTTCCAATCTGCTGTCTCTTTATGACCAACTTGTATTTCGAAAGTAAAAGGTAGTAAAAGCAGATATGTTATTCAGCATAACAGATTCTAGGAATGTTTCCAAATTTCACAATGGATACTTTCTGCTGGCAGTGTAATTATAGACCTTTTCGCCAAGCTTCAGACAATAAACTTTTACACTTTCCCAAACTGAATGATCAATGACAAAAACATAATTATTGTTACTATCAAGAAGCTGCTAAAAATAAAACAGAAGGGATTTCATATGCAGACAGTGCTAAATTATTTACAGACTACATATTCAGCATTAAATATATCATGTGTGCAGTGATCAGAGCCAGGCCATTAACATTTATTACACAAGTGCTTTTGATTTCCTTCTTTTTTTCACATACAAATTGAAGTAACTGTATTGCAAGAACATTCTGTAAGCTCACCATATATACTGTATGTGATTAGGTGAAAATGTTATTGATAACAGTAAAACTGTATAGCTATTTTATTTTTTTCCCTGTAATGATCCTGGACAACCTTGAAACAATTGTCATTTAATAAAATATGTTAAACATAAGATTTTTTTAGACCTATATTCAAATATTAAATGCCAACCCCAGAAATAAATCATTTTATTTTCTGCACAATAGAGAAGGCTTAGAGGTACTGTCAGTTTTTTAAATTACTGTCTGTGTTCCAAAATGAGGAAACTTAGTGTAATGTAAAACATGATTAGATCTGACTGGTTGTAATTGTGTTTCTAAGTTTAGAAAACATTGCTGTTTTATAAGTGGTGATACAAATGTTACCTAAATGGCTATGCCCACTTTCAACCACTCTTTTTTACATAATATGTTCATTGTGTATAAAATATTTGCAAAGCTCCAGTATTATGCTGTTCACTTTACAAGATAATTTGCACTTTGCAGGGTAGGTTTCTTCAAGCTTGGTGAATGTGATGACATTTCACTTTGCAAATACCCAAACATGTCCAAGGAAAAAAACAGAATTATTGTTTACACATGATTGGATGATAAAAGTCAGCAAAGCGTCACCTCATTCACTAAACTAAGTGAAAATGTCCTTTGTAAAGTGAACAGCTTAGTTGGCTTTAGTAAATCAACCCCAATATCTCAAATGTAGTACCGTATAGTACCAAATTACATATCCTATTTTTGTCATTATTTCAAAAAACGAAAATCACATTGGTTGCTTTAAGTTATTTCATATTGTTTAAACTGATATTTGCATTATCTTATTAATTGGGGACAAAACTACACTCTGAAGAATTTATTTTGAAGCTCTCTCTATTATGAAAAATACACATTTACTTTACATGTTATATTTATAGTGACTGACAGATAAATTAAGAAAGATGTAAATAATTTAAATTTACCAGTCAAAGATGCCACAGGAGGATCATTAATTTTGAAAATCAGTAATAATGCAAATTGCCTGAATTGAATATTCCAGCATTAATTATATTTTGTTTCACATTTGAAAACTAATTAACTTACCTTCACAGGTAGGTAAGGAACCCTCAAACTGCAGCTGAGTAATCAATTTACAGGTTATTATATCATTTCCTATTAAGGTAAACCCTGGACGGCACCTGTATATTACAAAATCCCCTATAAAGCAAGAGTTATAGATTGAAACATTGTTTACAGAAAATTATCTGGAAGAAACACACAAAGAGAATATGACAGATTATGTAGCACACATGGAACATAACTAAAAAAGGTAGACATCAACATTCATGCTTGATTAGCTTAAGGTACAGTATCAAAAATACACTATCTATGCCTGTTTTGCACTTTTTGACCAATATAAATATGTGGTATTATTAATATAGGGTTTTTTCTGCATATAATTGTTTGTGTAGTTTGTCACTGGCTTTATGTTAGAACACCCATTAATGGGTAACATGACTAAGAAATTAATATGTGACCAATGGTCCATATACATATGAACTGATACGGATCTATTTATTGCACCTAGTCACTTTATTGCTGTTAGCTAGACAGAAATATTTATGCTTCCAAATTCAAAAGTGGGAAAAACCTTGGCATTAAGCTTTAAAGCTACAAAATTAGGCTAACCATTAAAAGCAGGCACTAAGGAATGCTTGAAAGTACTCTTTATTATCTTCCTTAACCACAAAAAATAATATTTTAAGCCCAAGCCCAAGCCTTAAGTCCAAAAACTGAAATATAATATATTGCAGATTTCTAATCCATAGATGTGGTGTCTGCATTAGCTTTCTTGTCCATGCTGAGACCATTTTCAGCAACTACCTGTTGATCTTGTCAGAAATGTACGTCCTTGTCACTTCCTGAGAGAAGAAAACACTAAGATCCTCATCTTTATTGTGTAAACGATTAGTCCCATTTATTCACCATGTAATGAAGTTGAAGATGGGCAGACGTGTGAAGTACAGTATGGGGGACTACCCCATAGATACAATGGAGAAATGAGTGTAGATATGAAGGAACAGTAAGTGTGTTATTTTCAGGATCAACATGTGAAAATAGGAAAAGAGAAACGAATGCAGCCACCACATCTAATGATTTGTATGTTGCAATATATTAAATTTTTATTTATGAATTTAGATATGCTTTAACACCCAGGAATCCCAAAAGCCTAGTCATATAAATATGCAAATAATACTCAGGTTTTTATAGTCAGGGCACTAAAAGACCCCATATGTTCTTTATTGAAATGCTCTGAGTCTGTATCCAGTAGAGAGTCTTGCATTGCAGGTTGGCAGTGCTAGAGACCGAAGCTGAAATGTAACTATTGAGTTTCCTGGGCTCAGGGGCTCCTGGGGCACTTTGTAGCTAGACACATAGATATGTAAACAGTAAATAAATCTATGAGCAGGGGCTGCAAAGTGCCTACAGAGACCTGTTTTTTTTAAGTTTATTAAATTAAAAAACAAATACAAACATATTTATTCTTGCATAAAATCAATCAATAAAACATGATTTATGATACCTATTTCAAAGTCATCATTGTCAGAAATGAAGTCAGCATTTGGCACAGGTGCTGGTGATTGGCATTTCTTAAGTGCATATGCTGCAAAGAAAATAAGCATACCTATGTGTTAAAATAAAATGTTTGCATGGCAAATTTTGCTGCATTTTATGTTGACTGGTTAAATATTAAATTTTCTTAGATGTAAAATAAAGAAATACTTTGCAATTATTGAATAGCCAATTGGTGGGGCTGGATTGTTTAAGAGTAAAGCTATGTTACACATATATGCAGGCTGGAGAATCAGATGTGGGTAGATTGTAAAACTTAGAGGGTTATTCACTATAGAGCCGAAGGATCCAGCCGTAGCTTTGGCTGATCCTTCGGCTCGCTTCGGCCACCTGAGCTCTTTGGTTCAGTAGAACTGAAGAGCTGCTGTACGGGCTATTCACAATAGCCTGTACAACAGCCGAAGGTAAGCTGTAGTAACAGGCGAAAGTACGGCCAAAGCCGACTGATCTCCACGCAAATGACAGCTGGGCAGAGCCAGTCGTGATCTCATGGCTTACTCCGCCCAGTTGTAATGACAGATCAGCCTCCCCAAATGACCTGGGGATGCTGAACTGTCATTAAACAATAACGACTAGGCAGAGCTGGCCATGCCATCATGGCCGGCTCTGCCTAGTTGATTTTTTTGCCTGGGACCTGCTAGAAGACTCTGGCAGGTGCCGGCCAATAGTAATCAGTTGGGCAGAGCTAGCGGTGATGTCACCACTAGCTCCACCGGGAGTTCATTGCGTGCGGTTGGGTCGGCGTGCCTCGTTTTCTTTCTTTCTTTTTTTTCTTTGCTTTAAATTTCTTTTTTTTTTTCTTAACTTTTTTCATTTAATTTTTTTGCATTTTTAAAAAACTTTTTTAACATTTTTTTCCATGCAGAGCATGTTCAGCTGACCGAAGGCAGCCAATGTACGGCTGAAATCAGCCGTACAAGGTTGAAGTGAATAGCTTAACAGCGTTCGGCTCACTTCACTTTGGCTGGCAGGTGAATAACCGCCTTAGTTGTTTTCAGTAGAGATTGTAACTACTAGGATTAAATAACCAGATTGTGATCCAGATTAAGGTACCCACATGTATTTCAATGCTATCTTTTAAATTCAGGGGGTTATTCACTATTGAGCTGAAGGATTAAGCTTTGGCTAATCCTCCAGCTCACTTCAGCCACTAGAGCCCTTCAGTTCTGCCAAACCAAAGGACTGCTGTATGGGCTACTCACATTAGCCCATAGATCAGCCAAATGCAGCTGAAAAGCTCAGCCGAGCGAAAGCATATGCCGAAGCCACACCCGAAGCTGGGAAGAACGGTCGGCTGAAGCCATTCTCTCCACAAATGTAAACAAATAGTAAACAAAACCTGAAAAAAACAGTACCCTTTAGGTCTGGTAGGAATGTTAGGAGGGACCCCAAGTTAAAAATAGAAAAAAGTATTGGGATGGTGCTTTTCCAGGGTACTTCCTGGAAAAGGACCTTGTCCCCATGCTTCTTCCCCACAACCCTGGCTTCTTCCCCACAACCCTGGCTTCTTCCCCACAACCCTGGCTTCTTCCCCACACCCCTGAACCTGTGGTTGTAGGGTGACATCATGGCCGGCTCTGCCTAGTTGATTTTTTTGCCTGGGACCTGCTAGAAGACTCTGGCAGGTGCCGGCCAATAGTAATCAGTTGGGCAGAGCTAGCGGTGATGTCACCACTAGCTCCACCGGGAGTTCATTGCGTGCGGTTGGGTCGGCGTGCCTCGTTTTCTTTCTTTCTTTTTTTTCTTTGCTTTAAATTTCTTTTTTTTTTTCTTAACTTTTTTCATTTAATTTTTTTGCATTTTTAAAAAACTTTTTTAACATTTTTTTCCATGCAGAGCATGTTCAGCTGACCGAAGGCAGCCAATGTACGGCTGAAATCAGCCGTACAAGGTTGAAGTGAATAGCTTAACAGCGTTCGGCTCACTTCACTTTGGCTGGCAGGTGAATAACCGCCTTAGTTGTTTTCAGTAGAGATTGTAACTACTAGGATTAAATAACCAGATTGTGATCCAGATTAAGGTACCCACATGTATTTCAATGCTATCTTTTAAATTCAGGGGGTTATTCACTATTGAGCTGAAGGATTAAGCTTTGGCTAATCCTCCAGCTCACTTCAGCCACTAGAGCCCTTCAGTTCTGCCAAACCAAAGGACTGCTGTATGGGCTACTCACATTAGCCCATAGATCAGCCAAATGCAGCTGAAAAGCTCAGCCGAGCGAAAGCATATGCCGAAGCCACACCCGAAGCTGGGAAGAACAGTCGGCTGAAGCCATTCTCTCCACAAATGTAAACAAATAGTAAACAAAACCTGAAAAAAACAGTACCCTTTAGGTCTGGTAGGAATGTTAGGAGGGACCCCAAGTTAAAAATAGAAAAAAGTATTGGGATGGTGCTTTTCCAGGGTACTTCCTGGAAAAGGACCTTGTCCCCATGCTTCTTCCCCACAACCCTGGCTTCTTCCCCACAACCCTGGCTTCTTCCCCACAACCCTGAACCTGTGGTTGTAGGGGTCTGAGGGCAGGAGACTTATTTGCATCGAGGTACCTCCTTGCATAAAGGGGCATCCAGATGCTGCCTCCATGTCAATGAGTAAAGGGTACTTGTTCACTAAAGGGTTAACAACAATGTAAATAAAAAGACCAGACTTAGAAAAAGTCCTTCAATTGAAAAAATTGAAGTAGCATGTAATTGTGTGACAACAAATGGGCAGAGCCAGTAGTGATATCACGGCTAGATTCGCCCATTTGTTGCCATGGATTGACACGCTACTGCTCTCAGGTCATTGGAGGACAGTGGCCTGTCATTGTATGACAACAAATGGGTGGAGCCATCAGTGACATCACGGCTAACTTCTCCCATGTGTTTAAATTTGGCCCTTGTCCCCATCAGCATGTTGATGGCATGTGGCCTGGTATGGTGCAGGGAGGGGAGCCGCTCACTTGTTCCCATCTTTCCTGCACTGACAAGCCAGTGCTCGGATTAAGGGTCTGCTTGAGAATGTTAGAGGGGGCCCACATTTGGTCCACATTTTTTTGGGGTAGGGATCCCCCTTAAAATTCCTACAAGACATAAAGGGCCTGGTATGACTTTTAGGGGGGAAACCCCTTGCACTTTTTTTTTTTATTTCAGGGGGTCCATCCTAACATTCCTACCAGACCTAAAGGGTCTGGTATGAATGGGAATGTGGACCTCACGCTTTTTTCCCCTTTGTTAAAAATGTTTTATTCTGTGAGCTACCCCCCCCCCCCCCCCCCTTTTTTCTATTACAACAA